CCAGCTCACACAAATCAGAGTTATTCTGAATCACCAAAATTAGCAACAATAACTCAGTAAGGGTTGTTCATGGTTGTTCATGGTTGTTCATGGGGTGAGAAGGCTGTGGGCTGTGGGGTGACTGTCAGGATGATCTGCTGTGATCCCCTCAAGAGCACAGCAGAGCTCAGGGCACTCCCTGTGAGAACCTGGAATCATCCACTGCCTTTTGAGGGAAAATCATTTCTCAAACATCTGTTAGCTGTTGGGCACAATTAATTTTGGCACATCTTACAAGAGATTGTAATGTTCCAAATAGGTCCACATCATAATCCATAACTGCTGATTTGATTTTAAGAGAAAATATAAATATTTATGCTATGCAATATAGAATACATGTTATGTATATGTATATATAAATTTATAAAGCTGAAAAAAATATATATATATACATACAAACACCCCACACTAGAGGCCTGATGCAGGACACTAGAGGCCCGATGCACAAAATTCTTGTAAAGTATGTGGCCCTTGTAGCCCTGGCTTTGCTCAGAAGGTCATCCGGAAGGACACCTGGAAGGCCATTCGGCTACCCGGTCTAATTAGCATATTATGATTTTATTTTATACACCAAAACTTTAATACTGTCTGAAGGTATTGAAAGTAAGCCTAATAAATAGTTAATTTAAGAGCTGATCCTGCTTTTGGACCACTGACAGATTGTAAGGTGATATGTGTGTGTGGCCAAGATTGGTTTCACAGAGAAAGTAATGCATTTTAGGAATAGTGCAGCCTGACTAATTAACCAAGGTAATTGGGTTGGGGGAGGGGGGCGCGGGCATTGTGAGACACAGACTGACAATCTCAAATCACAGTTAAAACTAGTTAAAAGTCAGCACACATTTACCATTTATTCAAAGGTGTTAAAATAATTCTAAACCTGCCGAAACCGGTTTGGCTCAGTGGTAGAGCGTCGGTCTGCGGACTGAAAGGTCCCAGGTTCGATTCCGGTCAAGGGCATGTACATTGGTTGCGGGCACATCCCCAGTGGGGGGGGTGCAAAAGGCAGCTGGTCGATGTTTCTCTCTCATCGATGTTTCTGGCTCTCTATCTCTCTCCCTTCCTCTCTGTAAAAAATCAATAAAATATATATTTAAAAAAAAAATAATTCTAAACCAAATGTTTAGAGACAAACAAAAGAAAAGAAACACAATCACACCAGAGAAGATACAAAGTTCTGTTCCATTTTCTGCTCCTTAGCTGACCTCCCCTTTGTTTCACTGTTCAAAGGCAACAAGAGGGGCAAGTCCTAGTCAGCACCAAAATCTGCTAAAGCCCTCCCCTTCCTGTCACTTCCTCCTCCCTCAATGTGGCCCTGAATCCACAGCCACACCTGCTCCCCTGGGAGATCATCTGCTGATTGCTTTCTGGAGGGATGACGTTCTCTTGTTCAAGGAATCCTGAAACCACATGAAAGATGGGGCAGGAAAGGGTATTCCTATTCCGTGGCCATGCAGGCCCTACTGAGTAGCATGTGTTTGTAAACACTAGACATAGCCTCCAAGATGTGGATGTAGTCACTCTCTTGGAGTGATTTTTCAAAAAAAAAAAAAAAAATGTCTATTATATCATACACTTCTAGATGAACAAGAGTTGATTACTGCATTTCATCAAATCTAAGATCCATCAATTATAGGATACTAGAGGCCCAGTGCACGAAATTCATGCAGGGAGTGTCCCTCAGCCCAGCCTGCACCATTTCCAATCTGGGACCCCTCAAGAGATGTCCTACTGCTCGTTTAGGCCAGGTAGGATCGGGCCTAAAAGGGCAGTCAGACATCCCTCTCACAATCCAGGACTGCTGAATCCCAACTATTCCCCTGCCTGCCTTCCTGATTGCCCCTAACCACTTCTGCCTGCCAGCCTGATCACCCCCTAACCACTCCCCAGCCAGCCTGATTGATGCCTAACTTCTCCCCTTCCAGCCTGTTTGCCCCTAACTGCCCTCCCCTGCAGGTCTGATCACCCCTAACTGCCCTTCCCTGCAGCCCCGGTCGCACCCCAACTTCCCTCCTCTGCCAGCCTGGTCACCCCTAACTACACTCCCCTATAGTCTTGATCACCCCCAACTGCCCACCTGTGCAGGCCTAGTCTCTCCCAGCTGCCCTCCCCTACTGGCCTGATTACCCACAACTGCCCTCCCTTGCAAGCCTGGTCCCTCCTTTCTGCCCTCCCACACTGGCCATCTTGTGGCAGCCATCTTGTGTGTTGGAGTGATGGTCAATCTGCATATTACTCTTTTATTAGATAGAATAGAGGCCTGGTGCACAGGTGGAGGCTGGCTGGTTTGCCCTGAAGGATGTCCCAGATCAGGGTGGGGGCTCCCTTGGGGCATGGGACAACCTGGGCGAGGAGCCTATGATGGTTTGCAGGCCAGCCACGCCCCCTGGCAACCCAAGCGGAGGCCCTGGTATCTGTGATATATTTATCTTCTATAATTGAAACTTTGTAGACTTGAGTGGAGACCAGGGCAGGGCAGGAACCTTGGCTTCCTCCATTACTGAGGAAACCCAAGCCTCCTGCTCTTTCCATGAATGCAGCCATCTTGGTTGTGTTAATTTGCATACTCACTCCTGATTGGTTTGTGGGAATGGCTTGTAGGCACAGCGGAGATATGGTCAATTTGCATGTTTCTCTTTTATTAGTGTCGATATCATTATTGTATGGACCTCTGTGAAAGAAAAAAAATGCTACTAATTACATAATGCAATACTTTCTTATTGGTTAGGTTCCTCCCACACAATATCTATGCTGCCATGCTCTGAGCATTTCTTAAAGGAAGGCTCCACTCTATCTCTGGGAGCTTCTGAGCCTCCGACTTGCATCCTGCAAGTTTTGTCCTGAAAGTTCCTCAGTCTTACCAGAAGACACCAACAAACCATTTTCAGGGAACCCAATAGGAACACATTTTAAATGATAATTAAATGCAACTCATGTAGTACAATCAGCGTACATAATTTAATATGAACAGCCAGGATTAAGTTCATCCATATGCAGCCAAATGATAACCACCATGCCATTGTCCCCCAGTGGTCACAAGATATATTCCATTTCACTGTTGTTAAACTGAGGAAAAGCATGTTTCTTAGCATGGATGAAATTTGGGGACTATGAAACTAGCAGTGATCAAGAGGGAACCCAGCCCAGCAAATGCTAGGTAGATAGTACTTTTCGACCCAGAGTCAGGTGTGGCAGACCAATATAGATACCATACAGATGCTCACTATTTGATAGCCATGGCGTTCGGTGTTTCTTATACATTGGTGTATTCAGTCATCCCAACACGGCATTGAGGATTGAGCTCAGAGATGTTAGTAACGTGGTTCAAGATCATAAAAAGTAGCAGGTGACAGAGCCCAAATATAAACCTGGCTGTGTCTGACTCCAAAATCCATTGTATTTCCACCAGACTAGGTTCCCTACTGGCCTTTCATCACTTAAGGTAAAATAGCAGCTATAGTTGTAGTTCACCTGGTCCAGGAATGAAGGGATTACTAAGTCAGAATTTTATGGAGACAAGATAGAATTATCTATAGTAACTGTAATCACAATATGATATGAGAACTAAACACAAGTGACAAAATACTGAGCATAGCATATATAAGTATATACATACAACCATTACCAGCTGGGATGTTAGAGAGTTGTTTAGGCTGCTCTGGCTCATATACAGAAAGAAAACTCTCAGGCTTCTTACAACCCGCCATTGCACAAAGGTTATGTGAGTCTACATTGCTTCCTTTGTCACATTCTCAAGTATTCTCGTTGGCTAGAGGAGCCCAGGAGTTCGCCATCTGGCAGTTTTAGGCCAACCATGAGCTATGGACATATGACTGTTTGGTTCCACTGACCGAAAGACCATGTTTAGGGTCACTGACTACAGCTCGGCTCAGATGTGGACAGCGGCCCTCTGACCACTTCCCCCACTGGGTTCAGCTAGAACTCTTTCTAAGCCATGGACCTCACATTTGTAGTAAGAGTAAGGGTTAGTGTGGAAATTGCACTGTATACTTTAGTCTCTGTTTTTGTATCTTTCACACAAGACTTCATCATGAAAAGGAGGAAGCCCAAACTGAAGTGAGTGAAAACGCTGTCTCCAAGAGAAGATTCTGGCTTGGTCCTGAATTGAGGTAAGATTGGATGGTGCACACAGTGAGCCTGTGGTGAGCTACTCCATCCCTGCTCCCCTTCCATTTGTCTACCTTTCTTCCTTTCTCCTTCCCTTCCTTTTTGCTTACTTCCCTTCCCAGGCTTTCTTTTCCTCTGTCCCTCTTCTAGGAATTCAGTGTACCAAAGATACCCTTCTTAAAAAAGACAAAAAAAAAAAAAAAAAAAAAAAAGACTGTGAACCCTGAATAATGGAAAGAGTAGTGGTACATTAATTAAGAAGACGGAAAAGAAAGTTTTAGGCAATATGGGGCATGTGTTGTGAGGCCTCCTCCAGAGGCCTTTCCTAAGCAGCCTAATTAATTCGTGTTGCCAGCCCTCAACCCCAGGCACCTTATATTCCAGCTATCTCTGTTCTACAGTCTCTGTAGCGCTTATCATCCAACCTATTTTTTTTTAAGAGAGAGAAAAATATCAATTTGTTGTTCCAGTTATTCATGCATGTATTGGTTGCTTCTTGTATGTGCCCTGACCAGGGATCAAAACTGCAACCTTGGTTCATGGGGACGACACTCTTTAACAAACTAAGCTACCTGGCCAGAGCCACATCGGATTTCTAATGTGCTTCCTCTATTTCCCCATTAGCATATAGGCTGCTTGAGGGGAGGGGCCTAATCAGTCCTGCTCAGATGTATCTCCAGTTTTCAGCACGTCGCCTAGCATATCATAGATGTGGGTGAAATTTGTTGAATGAATGAATAAGTGAAGTGACTTGTGTGTTATATTAAATTTTCTCTGCACCTGTTCATTGTCTGAACGCGTTGTCCATTGTCTGATGTCTGTGTGTAAGCACAATGAAGAAGAGCAACAGGAAGACTACCATGAGGATCAGTAAGCGAGACGCCATCCGCATCCCATCCCCGCACAGTCCAAGAGCTCTCCAAAATATGCTGGATGGAGGAGAGTATGCCCCTTTTGTATCTCCTCCCATACTGGAGGGCAATTTTATCCAGGTAAATATTTGAGCCCTGAATTATGTTACAACAATTTCAGTAAGTACTCAAAGATGACTGAAAAGGTTGGGAGGAGAACTGTTTTAAATGTGGCAGTGGAATATATGATAAAATGAAAGGGAACAGTTTTGGAACATTAAGCAACTGAAAATAATTATAATGTTAAATAAAAATTCATTTCAAATTTTCCCAACTCTAACCTAGGAATTCTGTCCTAATGCTACCGTAATTTTCTATCATAATCTTCTCAAAATTACATGAAGAGACAGTAGTCATTTTTAGGATATTTTGCCACAAGAAAGCAATCTGACAATTTCTTTGTTAAATTTAAAGAATAACATCTATGGCACAACTGGGATTTAAAGTGAATTTTGGCTTTTAGTTCTGAAGGTGAAATACAATTGTCAAATTGTGCTAGGGAGAAAAGTTTCCTTTCATAAAAATGTACCTACATTATGAATGAACTACATTTCAATGCATTTGGGAGGAGTTCTAACTTTCCTTTGAACATTCAACATTGAAATATTCAGATAAACCTAGCTAGTGTTACTCGGTGGTTGAGAGTCAACCAGGAGGTCAGGGTCAATTCCAAGTCAGGACACATGCCCGGGTTTTGGGCTTAATTCCCAACAGGGGGTTTGCAGGAGGCAGCCAATCAATGATTCTCTCTCATCATTAATGTTCCTATCCCTCTCTCCCTCTCCATTCCCCTCTCGGAATTAAAAATTAAATAAATATTTAAATAATTTAAATATATATTCAGATAAAGAAATAGGGAAATGATTCAATGGCATAGGCTGTACCTCTAAATGTCTCTAAATGCCACAGCCAAGTCTAACATGAAACACATCCATCAAACAGCTCCTCAGCTGATGCCGCAGAGGGTGACAGAGAGGACCACAGATACTTACTTCTTCACCTTCCATAAACACCTTCTCTGCACTGACCCCGGGAGCCAGGGAGTCCCCCTCCCCTCCAGAACCATAGGCAGGAAGTGATGCCTCAGAGAACACTGAGGCTTCAGGGTTGCCCGGAATGCTTGTAATAAGTCATAATTGTATGTATTTTACTTTTCATGTGCTTCATTCTTACTAATATTTTTTTTTCACATTTCTTCCTGCACACTTTTCAAATAACCTTTGCATACTCTCATGAACACGAGGGTGGGGGCCAGTTAGCATCCAGGCGTCTTCAAACTACGGCCCGCGGGCCACATGCGGCCCGCAGAGGAGTCTGATCCGGCCCGCCAGGTTTTTTGGGCAGTGAGCGCAGCCGAGGTGTTACAGTAGGAATTAGTAGTTCATATAGTCCGGCCCTCCAGCTCTCTGAGGGACCGTGATCTGGCCCCCACTTTAAAAAGTTTGAGGACGCCTGCAACCATCCATGGCCCCATATCATAATTGGATAAGGTTATTCCCTTCAACAGGGAGCAAGCTACTAAAGTTCCCAAGTCAACAAGTTTAAATGAAGAAGAATAACAGTGAGCTCAAACAGAGTGCCGGAACCTCAGGGCAGCAGCTCGCCCACGGGGAGTCATCAAGGACCCCGCCTCCCTCTTTTTGCTCTGTCACCCTCAGGTTAGCTCCCCTCGAACATCACATGCAAACAGGACAGTGACTGCCAGCAACAGAAGAGATGCCTCTCATCCTTACAACTCCGTGAGGACTCAGAATCCTTTCCCAGAGCCACCAAGAGGCCCCCACTCATGTCTCATTGGCCAGGCCTGGGTCACATGCTGCTGCTAAAAAGCAACTGCTTACAAGAGGATGAGTCAGCATAACTGGTTTATCAAAATTTGTAATATGTTTTCATTGACTTCAAAGAGAGGAAGGGTGAGATAGATAGGAACATCAATGAGAGAATAATTGATCAGCTGCCTCCTGCATGCTCCCCACTGGTGACTGAGCCCACAACCTGGGCATGTGCCCTGACCAGGAATGGTGACCTCAGTACTCAAGTATTGAGCCACACCAGCTGGGCTAAGTCAATCATAATTTAACCTCTGAGTTGAGACACCAGCCCTGAGGGATGGGTACTGGACAAAACCAGAATTCTGCTCATTGGGCAGAAAAGGAGCATGGTGTTGGGTAGATAATCAATAGTGTGGGTTCTGATGTCTTTTAAAGTATATTTGTTTTTTAAGTGATTTTTTTTTTTGAGCCAGTTATTATACAGCTGAGAGACCAAGTGTTACTTGGAACTTCTCTGGCTTCATATCCTTGTCCACCCACTTTCCAGTCTCCTCATCCAGCTGTGAAGATTTTACTGGCTGAGATTCTTGGGACTTGGGGTTTTGCACAAGCAGTTACTCAGCTTAAAAGTGCTGTTCACATAGCCAGTTTATCTCCCACATTGCTCAGGTCTTAGTGAGGTCCCTTTCTCAGGGGAGACTTCTCTGACCCTATGGCCTGGGTGCCTGGGACTGGCCAATAGGTAAGTGTTTAGGAAGTTTGCAAGTAGTTGTTAAACACAGCCACTATTAAAAATTAAATTCTATAAACTTTTCCAATTAAGTTACATTTAAAACAAAGGCAACAAATACTCAAAACTCATTATTCCTATTATTTCTCTCCCTCCCTCCTTTCCTCCCTCCCTCTTTCTAAACAAACAAATAATAAACATACCCTCAGGTGAGTATTAAATAATAATAAGTGTCATAGTTGCTCAGTGTTTACTTCCCTGGTAAACCTCCACAGTCGGGAGCCACGTCTGAGGGTAGAAAAAATTTAAACACCAAAAGAAGTCAGTGGCTATAGAAAAAGGGTCTTTTCACTGTGAGAGCTCCCAGAAGTCACAGGAACGAGTGAGTGATTCCATGCATCACATGGTTCGTTTTTCCTGTTTCCTGCAGGTAAGCAAGGGAGTGGGGACCGTGCACCTCATCAGAAAACCTTCTTCCTGTTCTCTGCCTTAGGTCAATAGAAGAGGTGAATCCATTTACCTTCACAACCAAGCCAACTGGGTGGCTGTTGCCATCTGCTCTTCCAGCCACACCCACAAGACCCCCAACGTGATGCTGCTAGCACATCTCACGCCCACGGCCCAGAAAGACAAACCCCTGTTTGAGAGCCTCCTGAGACCGTCTCCAGAGAAACTGGTGCTCACCAGGTGAGTCACAACGGGAAGAGGTGAAGGAGGTTTCAGAAAATGGGCTTTTCCCTGAGGAGCCGAAAATGGACACAACGAGGGCACTTGCTCCGAGGGAACCTCTCCCTGTGCTCCTCGCTGCAAATGAGAGCCACACCCTCAACGCTGGGGAAATGGCTTACGCCAGCCTAGCAGTCAGACAAGAGGTAAAGTTTTTTTTTTTAATGAACTTAATTAACAGGAACTGAAAACTCAAACTGCCTCTGTAGAACATGCCCCTCTCCCCGCAGCATCCTAACTTCTACCGGAAGTAGTTAGCTCTGGTTTTGTCTCAAGCCACCAACTTGCTGTGTGGCCTAGAGCCAACCACCCACCTCCTCTAAGTCTCAACTCTGCAGGATGAAAACAAGACGATTTCTCATGATAAATGTCAGTGCTCTGATTTTTGTAGTCCATCAGAGCCTTAGAAGGGTGACCCAGGTGGTTTGGCCCCCAGCAGCCTGGTGGCATGTCCTGAAAATGAACATTCTGAGCTGCCTAAACTAAGGATCAGCCCTGGGGACTGTGGCCACGGGAAGGCACTGCCAGGTCCCTGCCTGCCCCCACCTGGGCCTGTGTGGGAGACCAGCCTGTTGTCCTAAGTCTCACTCTACAAACTGCTATAAAACATAGCGGGAAAGGCCTTCTGAGAGGCCTCCGATCTGGGCTCTAGATGACCTCTGCATCTGTTTGCAGGTTTCTCCCTCTGCAGTTTGTGAGGCTGTCTGTGCACGATGCTGAGAAAATGCGCCTCAAAGTGAAGTTGGTGAGTGGCCGAGCCTACTATCTCCAGCTCTGTGCCCCTGCATACAAGCAGGACACCTTGTTTTCTCAATGGGTAGAGCTCATCGCCCTCCTGAATCAGGAGAAAGCTTCCAGACTGTCGGAAGTCTCCAGCCTCTCGGAACTCACAAATAGCACAGACATCACAGGCTCCATGGACATCATGGATATCGCAGAATTCACAGCTGTACAGACTTCCCATCCATACACGTATTCAGACCACGTATATGGCATGGAGAGCACTGATTTCTCAGAGTTAACGGTCATCACTGACGTCACTGATGTCACGGATGTTCCCGAACAGGAGGTCACTGAGGCCCCAGATGTGAACATTTTCACAGAAGTCACAGAAGTCACAGACCTCCATGATGGCACAAACACCTCAGGGGTCAGAGTGGTATTTGAAAATGATGACATACTAAGGGCCAAGCAGGAGGAAAAGGTATGTGGCATGGGAGACTTTCATTCTTTAAGAATCAAGAACAGCTGAAACCGGTTTGGCTCAGTGGATAGAGCGTGGGCCTGCGGACTGAAGAGTCTCAGGTTCGATTCCGGTCAAGGGCATGTGCCTTGGTTGCGGGCACCTCTCCAGTAGGGGGTGTGCAAGAGGCAGCTGATCTATGATTCTCTCTCATCAATGTTTCTAACTGTCTATCCCTCTCTCTTCCTCTCTGTAAAAAATCAATAAAATATATATATTTTTTAAATCAAGAACAAGGGTGACCACCAAGATTGGGTTAGTTCCCAGGTGGTGATTATCAAAATGCTATGGAACTTGCTCTAATTTTAATAATGAGATCTGATGCTTGGTGTAAAGAAGTGGTCAGGTGTCTTGTGAAATAGATAGTGACCATCCTTACCACCAAACTTACCCCAATGTGAGAAGGCTGTGGTGGATTGAGAAGAACCTTGGGATCAGTGTCCAAGACCTGGCCTGGAATCTGGCCCTGCTGTGGAGTGGTTTGGCCAAGTCATTGAACCTGCATGAGCTTCAGCTTCCTCATCTCTAGGATGAGAATATTAGTATCATGTAAGGGCTATTTTAAAGTCTAAATGTATATAAAAAGACTAGATGAAACTTCAGTAGGGAAAAGTGAGGGTAGAGATTAAAATACCAAAAGAAGTGAGTGGTTATAGAGAAGGGCCAGAAAGTAGAAAAACTCAAAGCCATATCCAAAAATGGTTAGTCCTGTTTGACTGGAGCATATTACACATGGATAACAATAGGATACAGAATTGAAAAGTTGCTTGCAAACCTTGAATGCCAAAGTAAGAAGTGTGGTTTTTGGTCTTTGGGCATACCTTAGCCACAAGGTTGTGAAGGAGCTGTGATTTTTGTGTGTGTATTTTTAAGACTGAGAGATTTTTTTTTATTATTATTGAGTTTTGGAGAGAGGCATGGAGAGAGAAAAACATTGAAGTGAGAGAGAAACATCCATCAGTTGCCTCCTGCATGCACCCTGACTGGGGATATAAGCTGCAACCTTTTGGTGTACGGGACAACTCCCCAACCAACTGAGCCACCGAGCCAGGGCAATGAGCTGTGTTTTTTTAAAGATTAATTTGATGGCAGAATGGATTGTAGGTAAAGGAATCAATTTGAAGACTACTACAGAAAACCCCAGGGGGCCCTCAATTTTTTTTTTTTTTTTTAATGGCAAAGGGCAAGGAAGACGTTTCACAGAAGAAACGTCCAATAAATACAGTGGAAACGTTTTACCTCATTAATAATCAAAGCAATTCAAACTTAGAAAGAACCTAACCTGTAAAACTGTTACTTAACAGAATAAAATTAGTCCATGTTACTAAAGCTGTGGTCAACATGGAATTCATACAGGTTTATGGAAGGGATGAAAATTGCCACAAACCTTAAAATGTACCCTTTGACTCAGGGATCCCACTTCTAGGACTCTTTCTAAAGGAATGAAACAGAAATAGGACTGAGGACTTCGCTACGAAGATGCTAATCATTCCACATCTATACCATGTTTCTAAATGTCCACCAAAGGGAAAATGGCTAACTAGACTTAAATCCATGCAGGGCAAGCTCCATATTTGTCTTATTCAGGAATGACCATAGTATGTGTCTGGCAAGGTCATAGACACTTAGTAAATATTTGCTAAGTGAGTAAACACTGTAGCTATTAAAATTGTTGGAGAATTGTTCTTTACTTGGAGAAATCTTCATGATATAAAGTTGAATGAAAAATGAAGAATATGATCCTTAAGATACAGAGGCAATAGGAGGAGGGAAATCATTAATAGCAGTTTATTTTTAGATTTGGGGGTTATAAGCAATTCATGTTTTCTTCACACTTTTCTGAGTTTGCTGTCTCTTTTACAACAAAAAGGATTCATTTTTAATTAGAAGAATTCAAGTTTTAACGATATAAGGAAAATGATATAAGGAAATAATAAATCATTAAGTGAAAAATGTAGCATATGAAACGAAAATATGGTCACAGAAAGTAAATAAATGGGCAAAGGGACCAAGCGAAATGTGCCAGAGGAGTGGTTATTTCTGGCCAGTGACATCAGGCTGGCAATACTTTTCTTCCTTTCACTTTATATATTACTAGAAGCCTGGTGCACAAATTCATGCTCCCAAGAAGGGAGCAAGCCACTCAGAGAGGTGGTACATTAACAGAAACCAGGAAATTGGGACGGGAGAGATTTCAGGGTATGAAGGTTTAGGTAGAGGTTCTAAGTGTTTTGAAAATCAAATTCTATAGCGGTATTATGAAGCTCCAACTCCACTCACCTATTAGATGCCCTTAAACCAAGGACAGCCTCGGATTGGGGAGTGCCTGGCAAGGCCTTTCTAGAAAACCTTCCTTTCCCTGACAATTCGGGGAGAGGAAATTCTATAATTTAGTACTGATTTTTTTCTCATGTGAGGTGACTGTGGTACATGCCCACATGAGCTTTTCATTGTGCTGTGTTAGGTCTCCACATGCCAGCCTCAAACCCACCTGGCCTCCCCACGACCATGCAACAAACAGCAAGCTTCAGTCCCCATCACTGCACCTGTGCATCAAATAAATCTGAATGAAACGATTGCTATTTTAAAATTGGCCCCGTAAATCATCTACAGCTGGATGATGCTCTTCTGTCACCTGATTTGCTGCTGCTTATTATTTTCAAAGGAAAAACTGGAAAAATGTCTGAAGCCTGGGTGCCTACGAGATACAAAGAGTAAGAACGAGCTCAAAGAATTCACAAAACACGTCACCATCTCAAACGTAACACTGACTTTCGAAGGGGAAAGATGCTTCCAAACTATCTTGACGCCGGTAGAAAGTGAGCGGAATGCCTGTGAAGAGACGAATGAAAGGACCTCAGAAAAAAGCATGACTTTCAAGGCTGAAAAATCCAGGTGCGTGAGCAGGGAGGTCCCGGGATGCCAAGATGGGAGGTAACATAGATGCAATATAATCAAATGATGACATGTCAACTCTTCATTACCCGATTTTGGTTCAATCTCGTCTAAATTTTATTTTCATTCTGGGCTGGCTGCCTGGTGTCACTGTGTGTGCTGAGGAAAGTAAACAAGAATCACGGGGTCCATCTTTGGGAGTTAGGGGGCCTCGATTTCTAGACCGATGATGGGTGTTCTTTATCTTTTTAAAAAATACATTTTATTGATTTTTTTTTATAGAGAGGAAGGGAGAGGGATGGAGAGTTAAAAACATCGATGAAAGAGAAACATTGATCAGCTGCCTCCTACACACCTCCCACTGGAGATTTGCCCACAACCAAGGTACATGCCCTTGACCAGAATTAAATCTGGGACCTTTCAGTCCACAGGCTAACGCTCTGTCCACTGAGCCATACTGGTTAGGGCTATACTTCTCTATTTTTTCTCTTCTACATATCCTTTATACATTTCTACATTTCCAATTAATAATAATCTAAAAATAAAACTATTTTCATAACTTAAATATCCATTTGCAAGAGGAATCGGAGAGAGCACTATAGTATAAAAATTAAAGTTAATCCAATCATTCTGGAGTAATGCCTAAAAAGAAACCAGAGGAAAATTTGGATCTAAATACTTATATTAGCAATAATGAAAACAAGGGATGCAATGAATCATGTCTAAGTTCTTTTTATTTTTATAAAATATATTTTTATTGATTTCAGAGAGAAAGGAGGGAGAGAGAAAAAAACGTTAATGGTTACAGAGAATCATTGATCAGCTGCTTCCTGCACGCCCCACACAACCTGAGCATGTGCCCTGACCAGGAATTGAACCATGACCGTCTGGTTCATAGGTCAACATCAACCACTGAGCCATGCCAGCAGGGCTCTAAGTTTTTTTATTTTAATATAAAAAGTAACAGGGGGAAACAGGGAAACAAAACTAAAAAAAAAAAAAAAAGTAATAAACAACCCTGGCCGGTTTGGCTCAGTGGCTAGAGCATCAGCCTGCGAACTGAAAGGTTCCAGGTTTGATTCGGGTCAAGGGCACATGCCAGGTTACAGGCTCCATCCCCAGTAGAGGACTTGCAGGAGGCAGCCGATCCATGATTCTCTCTCATCATAGATGTTTCTGTCTCTCCCTCTTCCTTCCTCTCTGAAATCAATAAAAATATTTTTTAACAAAACTAAAAAATAGTAAAAAAAAATTTAAGCAATTTAAAGTTATAGAAACTGTGGTTGATTCTCCAAAAAGAATAAACAACAAAAAAAGGGTATAAACTTTTTTCTTTAAAGGACAAAATTGGAAACTTGAAAGGTGTCACATCAGCTAATAAGGAGATTAGTAAATTGTTATTGAGAAAGATTATATACAACTTTGCCTTAATAGCTTGGAAACTCTAAATGAAATAGATGACTTTAACAAAAACACAAAGAGGCAAAATTGGCACAATCAAAACTTGAAAACAGGAAGTTGTTGTTGTTGTTGTTTTAATCAAATTGGTCCAATGAAAGAAAAGGATATCTAGCAGATGTCTGTAATCTTTTAAATTTAGAAAAAATAAATTTTATTTTCCTAATTGTATGAAGCAAGTCATTTGGATTGTAAAGTCTGGCAGACAACACAAGAAAGAAAATTCTAGATTAATCCTACCTGTAGCCTAAATTCATAGGCTCTTAAGAAGCAAAATAGCTGAAACCTGTATGGTTCAGTGGATAGAGCGTTGGCCTGTGGACTGAAAGGTCCCAGGTTCGATTCCAGTCAAGGGCATGAGGGGGGGGGTGCAGGAGGCAGCTGATCAATGTTTCTCTCTCATCAATGTTTCTAACTCTCTATTCCTCTCCCTTACTCTGTAAAAAATCAATAAAATATTTTTTAAAAAGAAGCAAAATATAGGAAATAATACCAAATTAAGGAAACTGTCAATAGAAGTCATTATTTGAATATTGAATAGCAGAAAAGTCATGACACTTTTTAAATGCATTTGAGAGATTTTGATGCTCTTGATAAAGACTCACAAAATATAGAAGAATTTTTCTTTAACACAGTAAAGAACAATTGCTCCAAATCAGAGATATCATTTTAATGAAGAAATTTTGCAACTGTTCTTAAATTATGCTCCCATTAACGTTTTTATAAAATATAATTTAAGAGGAAGTACAGTAGGGCAAAGAAATCAAAGAATAACTATAAGATTTTAAAAATCACTCTTTGCAAATGGAAATTCGCATTTAGAAAATTTGAGATTCATTAAAAATATCAGTTTGTAAAAACTGTTTAATAATGGCATAGGTTATAAAATAAACTTACAAAAAATAATTCTGTTAATCTTATTTTAAAAAATAAAAAATGCATTAAAAAAGAGAATGTATTTTTCATAAACAATGACAAAAATTAAATATTTAGTGGAAATGAAAAGAAATTTGTATACCTGGAATTACAAAACTTTAATGGCAGAACTAAACAACAACTTGAATAAAGAAAACTCATATCTCTTTCTGGGCTGGTAGATTTAAGACAGCAAATATTACAGGGCCTCCTAGATTGATTTATATATTTAATACAATACCAATTTATCTCAATAGGATATCTCATAGAAATTATAAAAAGTATGTGGAAAATTTAGGAGTAACATTATCAAGTAAACTTTTGGATATGGAAAGTGTCTAGAGGGACTTGGTTCTATAAAATCTTAAGCCACATTATAATTTAGCTACTAGAAACACTAGTGCCAAATTTAGAATATGTAAATAAAGTTTAATAAATAAATGTAAACTAATATGAGTTCAAAAGAGCAAAATTCTAGAGATTTACATCATACCACACAAAAAATTTCAGATGGAAAAAGAGTAAAATATTGTAAAACTAAAATAAACTAGAAGAAAATGGAATGGGAGCATTGCCTTGGTCTCAGAGGAAAGTTCATTTCTTGGCCACTGAAGCAACAGAAGAACTTTTCAGTGGCAAAGTTCATTCATTCAGTAATATTTACTGAGCACCATCTCTGTGCTAGGCCCTGGGGACACAGCAGTGAAAATAATCAAGTCCCTACCTCATGGGGTGTTTTATTCCAGTGGAGGATATAGATAATAAAATATTTCATAAGATCTGAATGGGCTGTGATTAAAAGAATAAAGTAACAGAATAGGCAGTGACTTGAGGAGGGAGGAGAGATTCTTATACAGGTGGTCAGGATGGCTTCTCTGATGAAGGGCAGAGATCTGATATGAGCAGGGATCTGGAGGAAGTATGGAGCTCCGGGGAAATAGAGTTCCGAGCTGATTAACTGTTTAACAGTTATAAGTAGCTACTAAATAAATGGTTTTAAATAAACAAATGCATAACGCAGTGGGAAAATAATCACAACAGGTAACCTTTAAAGATTTTTCCTACTATATATACAGGTAGCTAATGAGAATTTGTAAAGAATCCAATGAACAAATGTTATGAATAAAAAATTGACTCCAAAAGACAAAAATAAATCAATACTTGAAGAGGGATCAATCTCACTAATAATTTTTAAAAATACAAGTTAAGCAATTACTGGGTTTTTATTAGATGTTATTAACAGTATGATGTCACTGTAAACACTGGGAGCTGTCTACAGAGTGACTTGGCAACTCACAGGACAGACAACTACAGCTCTTGACATAGAGGAACATGTGTCAAAGAAATAATTTTTAAAACAACATATTTGGACATAGTGTCTTTAGTTAAAACCTGTAAGTAATCCAAAGAACTGTGAGTATAAAAATGGCTAATTAGGAAATATGTTAATTTAGTGAAACAGCAGACCCCCATTAGGGAAAGCAATGGGGGAATCTCAATAAAAAGAGCTGTATAACTAAAAAGAACTTACAAGCTAGAAAAGTAAAATTCCAAAGAATGTTTATACAAAAAAAAAAAAAAAGAATGTATATACAATGGTATTTTATTTCTACAATATGGATGGTAAGAAACCACAGTTTAGGCATAGCTGCTGATTAAATAAATTGAAATTTGTTGTTGCTATTAACACATGATTCTATTAAACTTTTATTATACAATGGATTGCATTTAAAATTTAAAAATCAAACTGATGTTAGAATACACCAATTGGAAGACAGAGCAGTTAGAGACTGAGTTTTGCAGTAGACAGCCCTGGCTCCAATCCTGGCTTGTCTACTCTCAGCTGCTTTGTGATGTTTCCAGGCCACAGTTTCTTTACTTGCAAAATGAGAATTACAGCTACCATGCTGAATTGTTGTAGGGATTTAAAAAACTGATATTAAAAAATTCACAATGCCAGGCACTGTGAACAATGGTAATTGCTTTAAAAATAAAAGAATAGACAAATTAAAATGGAGTAGAGAATGGGGGAAGGAAAGAACGTAGCAAGGGAGGGGAGGGAGAAAAAGTTCAGATTGTACATTAGACTAAACAAATCTAATACAGATTTGTCTTGCATTGAATATAACGCAAAAATGATTTTATCCCACAGAGTACCTTCAAAGTAATGTTCCCACTACACTAGCTAATACACCTACCCTAGAGAAGAGCTGGAGAAAAACACAAAACTTATGCAGTAAAAAAAAAGGGGAGGGGGTAATAATTTAAACAGAGGAGGAAAATGCCTATAGGTGACAATTATTATCTTCAATGTATGAGAAGTCCACAGAAGGCTAAATTTAAAAAGAAAATCATTTTAACTAATCACAAAGGAAAAATTTATTATACGGTAAAGTAATATAGCAGACAGCCAACCAAACAATGAAGAACAAAACATTAGTACTGTTCACTGATTAGATATTAATCAACAACAGAACTGGTTTTTGAAGGTTGTGGTGTCTCTGTCCTTGGAAATTTGTCAAAAATAAACATTAAGACATTTGCCCTGGGTAGACTTTAGACATTATTCTCCTGCCAGAGATCAAGACCTACTCAAAATTCTTAGTAATTTTAATCTACTGCTAAATAAACAAGAGGCTGCATGGTGAAGTCAAATGTAGCTCTGCTCTGGGGAGTCCTTAGGAGAGGGCTGGAACAGAAACAGTAAACACACCCGTGTGTTTAGGGCTCTGGGAAGCAGAGCACTAAAAGAATGTAAAGAGTAGGGGAACACAGTAGGGGCTCAGTAAATGATCACCATTGTCACTGATCATTCATTTCCAATAGTTTACGTAACAGAAAGTTGGGTGTTCTGTCAAAAAATTAAAAAAAACAAAACAAAACAAAAAAAAACACCTTACTAATATTTTAACCAAGTGCGAATTAAGTACTCAAATGTTGTACTCAAATCTGGCTCTTTCTTTGACCTTTCTTAGCTAAGTACAGGTCAAGGGAATCAAAGGATTATGGGTGATCCTTAGTGAGTCACAAACCTGAAAATCAGAGTCATGTGTATTTAGCCCCTGGACTGTGCATGTCTTGCAATTCTAGAGCCTCTAGATCCAAGTGCCAAGGTATCAGGCATCAGGGGATGGCGATTTCAGTCATTTTGGCTGTCTGCTCAAGCAAAGCATCGTTTAATGTCCAGTGGTTCCCAGTGTGTGTCAGCATTGTCTCCTGGGAACTTGTGAGAGATATAAATTCTCAGGCCCACCCCATCCTACTGAATCATAAACTCTGGAGAGGGCTCAGCATTCTGTGCTGCAGTAGACCTCCAAGTGGTTCCAAGGCACGCTCAAATTTGAGAACCACGGCTTTATGAAAAGCCAGTTCTAGATACTGGTACAAAGTACAGTTTTAGCAAGAATTCCTTTCTCCTGAGGGCTTGTTCTGAGTTCTGATATCCAAAGCAAGGACCCCGCTTTAGAGCCATAGGACAAACTATTGGCTTGAACTCTAGGGAGTCTTCTTCGTGGATTGTTTCTATATGACCAGGAGCTCTGAAATTTGGATTCAAAAGAGAAAAAAATATATGTTAATTATTTAAATCATTTCAACTTCTTTCCTTTCCCTTAGATTAGCTTTTAGTGCCTTTTAATAAAATGAATAATTAATAAACTTTATTTTTAAGTACAGTTTTAGATTTATAGAAAAATTGATAGAGATACACCCACTCCACTGCCATTCTGTCACCCTTCCCCCACCCCCAGACTTCCCTATTAACACTTTGCATTCGTGTGGTACATTTATTGCAATCTATACTAATACAAGCGTAACATGCTAATTAGACTGAACAGCCTTTTGGGCGTCATTCTGGATGTCCCTCTGGATAAAACTGCAGTGGTGAAGGCCAAAGCAGAGGTGGTTAGGAGCAGTCAGGCAGGCAAGGAAGCAGTTAAGAGAGATAAGGCTGGCAGGGGAGTAGTTAGGGAGTGATTAGGCTGGCAGGCAGGCAAGCAGTTAGGAGCCAGTGGTCCCTGATTGCAAGAGGGATGTCCAAATGTAGTTGGACATCCCCTGAGGGGTCCCTGATTGGAAAGAGTGCAGACTGGGCTGAGGGCCCCCCCCCCCATGAATTTTTTTGCACTGGACCTACAGAAATAGCTAATAAATATTGATACATTATCCTTACCTATAGTCCCTAGCTTAAGGTTCACTCTTTGTGTTGTAGAGTTCGATGGGTTTTGGCACCTGCATAGTGATATGTATCCACCATGACATACAGAATAATCTCACTACCCAAAAAGTCCTCTGAGCATTAGATTGGCTTTTACTATGTAAGGTATTAAAATTGTGAGATAAAAAAATATTTTATGATGACAAATGCTCTGCAAATTGTTGTTTATCTTACTATTATATTATGATCACTATTAGAATTAAAAAAAATCCATATATGAATAGTAAAAATAAAAGGGATCTTGAAGGTTAGCATATCCAAAATTCTTCAAGGCCTGCCCTCCAGTCTCTAGGCTTCCGGAGTCATTTATCTGATGACTCTACTAGGGAGAAAAATAAATAGAGAAATTTTAAAACACAGAGCAAAAACAAATTTTGGTTCTAAGTAATCCTCTTAAGCCCAATTTAATCAAGCCTGGGTTCTTTTTTTATTGCCAGTTTGCATCAGGAACATAATTACTTGCTGGAGCCTAATTTGAAAATGTTCATTATGAATGATAGGTGTAATGTCTAAGAATAGAATGGAGTTGGCTGGTGCTTTGTTCCTGGGACATCTGTAGGATATTGCGGGATTTGTGGGATTGCGTCAGGACGTTGTGAGAGTGATAAATAAGTGCTACATATTTTTCATCTTCCACACCAGGGGTTTCAGTGACACTTTATAACTATGCACTTTGGAACATGAAAAAAAAAAATAAACAATGACCTTCTAAGATATTTTGTCCTCAAATTCATTACTCTTTAAAATGTAAATTCAGCCATTTCAATCTAGATGAGTGAGAGAGTATGGAGCCATCTGTTATGTCACCTTAGGTCCTTCCAAAGTGAAGGATTTCCTTTATAAAGCATTTATATTCCTTTTTATTCCTTGATAATAGCGATACTGTGACTCTTCCCTTTGCTGTATGGAGGATAATGGCAGGCTTTATTTTAATTTACCCATGTTTAAAGTACATTTGCCTGATATTTCTCAGTCTCTTGAAAACTTTTGTCATTAAGCTTAACCTTCATTTAAATCACCAGACCTATTTAGTTAAGGCTCTGTGAACATTTATTTGCAAACTCCTCAGAAAATTACTAACAACCTTTACTTTGGAAAATCCATTAGTAGAACTCAAACTGGATGCATTTGCCATAACCCTTGAAATGGATCATAATTATGTCTTTGTGCTTATCTGTGAATATATTATCGAAGGGCAATTATTTTTCTGAAACACTCTCTTTTGCTCAAACAGCAACAGTTCCAAAATACTGAAAATGTGATGAAGAAACAAAGATTTAGTGAAAATTAAGTGACACGAGTCTATGTGTTAGCATGCCACTGAGGTTAAGAAAATAAGTATTTTAATTATTTTTATTAATTTTTAAAATTAGGAGTTCAGAAAACAAACTTCTTTATCCAAAGACATTCCTGAACGTGAAATAATCTAAAAAACTGACAGCTCCTCTCCTCCTTTATCCACGACTACCCCATAAGAAAAATGATAACTTGTGTATGTTAGTCACCTGTGTTGGGAGGAAAAAGAAGTTTCCTCTACCCTTCAGGTTCCTCTGGCTGGTCTAATAACCAAACTAACATGAAACAGATTAACAAGAGAAAATAATCAAATTTATTACATATGTACATGTGAGAGTTCCCTAAGAATATAGGAGTCTAGGACAGACTGGGCAGTTCAGGTCAATATGTCATTCCAAACTAAAAGAAGAGGGGCAGGCGTCTGGCACATCAAAAGGAAAGTGGGCAATTCACAGATGGCGAGAAGGAGCACACGTTTGGTAAACAAATCTTGCCAGGACACCCAGACACAATGGGACTCAGAGGGGAGTCTAAAAACTGACTTTTCTTGGCTTCTTTCTTTCTACCACGCTTAGTCCACCTGCCACTAAGGTGAGCAGATTTTCCTTGCAGCAGGTTTTTCTGTCTGAATTCCTCTAGGCAGGTAAGGGGGGGGGGCGGGGGGGGGGAATCCAAGGTTATTTCTGAGTCTTTTGTTTCTTAAAAATAACCAACTTAAAATAATATGTCAAAAAAGGCATATTTGGGGATGGCAAGTTTCCCAGGCTCTGTGGCCCCCATCAGGGCCATGGAGACTGGGACAAGGAAGCTAGCAGAGTTGGACAACTTCTGACTCCAGGCACCCATCCTTTCTAGAATCTATTCCTAGGTCTCTATGAAAGCCTACAATTCCCCACACACCTGGCTCTTTTAGGTGAGCCCTGAACTTCTCTCAGTCTAAACCCCAAATACGTTTTCAGAGGCTGGAGAGAAAGCAGGGAAAGGATGCCCCAGCCTCACTGAGTGACAAGTAATACAAATAGATTATGTTCTTAAGATGGCTTTTACAGGTGGGACAGTTTGCATGTTAGAGAAATTTAGGTACTTTTACTTTAATGTGTTTTATAATCAACAATGCCATAGATGTACCAAACACGTTTCATTACTACCTACAAAGCATTTAGGGAATGGTCAGCTATCTCACACCCAGTAATGCTTTTCTAAATATTTGTGGTTCCACTAGCAAATGTTTTGAAGCGTGTTGTTTGTTTTTACAGGAGCATGAGGACTGATTCAAACACTTCAGGTATGGAACAAATTCCACTACATTTCTCTGTGATCCCCAGTGTCTGGTAGTGGGTCACCTCTGGGTCCCGGAGCAGAGTAGTTAAGAGCGAAGGAATCAGGGAGATGTGTTGACGCATTCCCTCTCCTCCCTCTGCTCCCTTCTGAGTCCTGCGCTCAGAAGCTCTTCCCCATAGCCTGTCCTCGTGCGATCTTTCACGTAGGGGGCCTCGCTTCACATTCTTCTGGGCTGGTAGGGTTCGGTTTCCTCGTTCCCCCTATCTAACTCCCAGGGCAGGAACCACTCCCAGACTAGCTCTGCAGGCAGAACCCGAACAATGGGGCCTCTTGTCCTTGCTGACTGAAAGGGGAGTGGTCCACAAGCACATTGCTTGGTAGATCTAAAGCCATCGCCCCTCTTTTCTTCCTGCTTTCAGCTTTGGCCTCTGCTTTGCTGTCAGGTGATTCCATTTAGTGTTTTGTTTGGCAGTTTTTTCTTCACAAATTCTCATGTCTCAGGATTTTAAAACTGCAACACAAGCTTTGGGCATGGAGGCTGTCCTATAGGCACCAGTGGAGAGCTCTTCCCTGGCTTGCTGCTGACCCACTTCTAAGTTACTGTGGGGGTGGAGTGGACCTCAGCTCCAGTCATGCGCATAAAAGAATGTCATGGAAGGAACATAGAGGCACATTTCACTGGACTTAAATGGAAAGGGGGTGGAATACTTCTGTTTTAAAAACCGGCACTTAAAGACATTTGTAGTCACATTTGCAAGAATCCTCCTTAAAAAAATAATAATAATTAATTTAAAAAATAATAATAATTAGAGGATAGGTGTCTATACAAGGGGAATTTGTCTCTGGGCCTTCCCACCGGGCATTAGTGTCTCAAGTACCAGATCAACTTCACCTAATGTGGCTACTTTACCTATGTTACAATCCACAGTATTGAACCTGAGACCATCATAGGGAAATATTATTATAGTTTATAAGGAAAATGCAAAATCTCCTTTGCAGTATATAGAACTTTCATCTATCAATTCCTACCCCAGATTGTATTTCAAAAAGAAATCAGTGAATTTGTAGAAATTCCAGAGATGTCTAATCAGCAAATATTTTCTCCCATTCTCCAGGCAAGGATCAATCTAGCAGCAGCCTTATCACTAACGCATAGTACATTAGCACATAATTAGTACATTCTCCATGTTCTCTGAAGTGCTCCTTATGTAAGCCATGGGCATTTTAAATTAATGTAGGAAATCAATATTTTTATCTTCGCCCTACATGTGTCTTTTGGCACAAACTCAATTTTGTTCAACTGAACAAACATCCAATGCCTATCTTATATATGAAGTACTGGCAGGCTCTGGGAGAGATCAAAATGAAATAAATAACAATATGTATTACCTGGCCTCAAGAGATGCATAAATAACATACATTGTAATGGTATAGCTTTCAGAGAAAAGTAGAAGACCTACTTTTAAAGCTCAAGAAAGAGAGAGAGAAAGAGAAAAGCAAGGAAAATTCTATGAAGGCGCAGTCTTTGAGTGAGAAAGGGGGAAGCAAGAATATCCTGGATATAGGGAATGGTGTGAACAAAATCTAAGAGGTGGGATAGTGCTGGGCATGGTCAATACAGGAACAAAGAAAGATGCAGCCAGAATGCAAGGCAGGAGCCAGCCTGGGGAGGTCTTGCACCATGCCAGGGAGTGTGGACATTACTGTTTGGTAGGAAAAGGAGGAGCCATGGAAAGACAGAAATGACAAAATTAGTGTTATGTTTTAGGACAATTGCAATTTCTAAAAGAAGCTGGAGCACATGAGAGATAGGAAATCATTATAATAGTCCAGGTGAAGGGTGCCACGGTTTGAACCAGGTAAGAAGCAGTGAGATAAAAAGGACATGAGTATGTAGTCAGCCAGTCTTATTGGCTGACAACCTATGGGGGTTAAGAAAGAGAAAAAAAATGAAGATGACAGTTTGGGAGGCAACACGACTAGAAAGGAGTGAGTCTGTGATACAAACTGGAAAAGGAACTGGAAGAGTTTGGGAAAGTGAAGAAGTCAAGTATGAAACACTGAAATTAGAATCAAAAGCTTTGACCTCTAACTGCACTTCCTCTGTTTCATAGTCAACCTCTCTGGACCTCAGTTTTCTCAACTGTCAAATGTGTGTGCATATGGGTGGGGGAAGGAGGGGCGTGACTAGCTGTCTGGGGGCCCTTTCTACTGTTATGACTTTATAAGCCAATACGTTTGTGGTCCTAGTGGCCCATCTTTGTAAATATAGAGGCAGCTTAGAACAGGGCTCTGGGAATGAAGAATGGAGCAAAGAACAGCCCACAGGCAGCAATATCCCACTCTGAGCTTGTGAAGTGCCAAGGACAGTATAGGATAAAGTCTGGCATGCAGGTTTCTCAAAAGTATTAATTTTTTCCCCTGTTTGTTTTCTTTCATGTACTTTCTCATTCTCCCCATTTTTCTTTCCTAGATCTTCCCACTTTTTATTACTTAGGATTGTATAGTTTTTCAGTTTTCCCTCTGATTTGCATTTCTTTCCCCTTTTTCACACTGCTCTGAATCACTTCCTTTTCCCCTTTCATACTCTCTTACTCACCCTGAACACCTTTTACCCCCAAGAAAAGCAAAGATTAGTGGAATCATAATCTCTCATTGAATTTAGACTGAGTCTGTAAATCTGATTTCTACTCTAAGTAGACGCCCGAATAATGAGTGCTCCCCACTGCAATAAAACAAACCCCTGGTCCTCTTACCCTCTCAGATTAACGCACCCCACTGCTGGGCAATGGCCAGCTGCAGGCATGGTTTCTAACTCCTCTCTCTCAAATCTCTCAGCAGTTTTGAAAGAATCACACTTTTTCTCCTTTCTCAGTAGGATTTTGGGTAGCAAGACACTTCAAATGTATTTTTACAAAAAGGCTACAAGGCAGGGCCGAGGCTAACCTTGTCTCTCTGGATCTGGGTCCATCTCTTTTCTTTCTTGACTTTCAATTTCTTATCTTCCTAGGCTTTCTTCACCTTAACTTTGTTGGGGGGGAAAATCGGTTTATCTATGAACCTATGGTATTTTTCAAATGTGTGAAGAAATGAGACAAAGAATAGAGAGATTCAGGAAAGAAGGGAGGGAAAAATACTTAAAAAATACTGGGAGTGTCCTCCCCATCCCCACCAGCCTTTCTTTTCCAACTACAAATCAAATTCCTCAGAATCCTGAACGGTGGCAGAGTCATTCTATGTTGATAAAGCCCAGGCTAAAAGAGAAAGGAGGGCCCTGAAAGGAAACCTATTTGTGAAACTGAACAATGGGCTCCCTTGGAAAGAATAAAGACATATTTGATGAGATGGCTGGAACCTCATTTGAATTTAAGACCCAGAATAAGTTACCCCTCTTTCTGTGCCTTTTCTCTCTCCTGCTTGTGACTTTTTTCTTTCTTCTTCACTTCCCCCTCTCTTCCCGTGTCCCCACTGTTTTCCTTTTTGCCCTTTGTCTCTCTCCCCTCATATCAAATCCTCTTCTAATTTCCTCGAACTTGTGCCTCATCTGCCTCCCTTTTCTCAGGGGAACGGATGTGAGGAGAGGAAAGTAAAACAGAGAAAGCAAAGGCCGATGGATTAAAAAACGTGTAAGACAACCTAAAGGTAATTTCTTACAGTTATAAATTCCTATAGATATAAAGGACACACATGACACTTTCACAAAAAGTTGTAAAAAAGTTGAATGTTTGAACATGGAATCTTATTGCTTCCATTGTAGTGACAATAGAGGTGGACTGGAATGTTGAAGGTTGGTCATGGTTTCTGCTCTTAACTACACAGCCTCCCCACAACATAGCTACTATGTGTGTGTGTGTGTGTGTGTACCCATGCATACATGTGTACACTTTGGGGCCTGAGTTTGTAGAATTGAAGAGAAGGTTGGAGAACCAGGAGTGGCTTTGGCGGGAATATCATGCCCATCTCATCAGGGCTCTGATGATAATGGAGGTGCCCACCCTTCTTTTATCCGTTCTGTCACGCTCCCACTAAAGTCAGCGAGGTTAGCACAGAGTATTTAGTTTATTAACAGAGCCCCACCCCGATGCACACCATGGGCCAGAGGGTTATGCATCAGAGGAAAACAATGTGACCAAAAAATAACAAATGCCCACACACAATAATCCCCTGGCTTTCACATACACTGCTTAGTCTGTGCCTATGCTTTTGTGTATTTTTTCCTTTTAAGTATGTTCTCAATATTATTCCACTAGAGGCCCAATGCACGGAATTTGTGCAAAAGGCCTTCCTTCCCCTGGCTACTGGCACTGGTTTCCCTCTGGTACCAGGGACCCGAGCTTCCCTCGCAGCCCAGGCTTCATCCGGAAGGATGTCCGGTCTAGTTAGCATATTTCACTTTTATTATTATAGATTAAAAAGAAAAGTTGGATTATAAATTTGTATTTTACTTATTATAATCACTTAATTCATGCATATTTACTTTTTATGTTTTTTATTTGACAGAAATAACTTTATTCTCTATTTTAGACTTTTGAATTAATTGAACTGACTTCTCCATCTTTTTTATTTCCCAGATAAATACAAACTACTAAACTAAAAAACAAGCAGAGCTCAAGAAATAACAGCCAACACAAGGAAAAAACAAAGCGGTGTCTTCCATGTGGCAGAAATAAAGGCTCCCACTAATCATTAAGCACTTATGCCAATCTCATTGCTTAAAGCCTAATTACTGTGGGGTATCCATTTTAAAGGAAGATATATATATATGACTTTTTATTCATAAACTCAATTTTTACCTATAGGGCTTCTTTGGGGTTATTGGAAAAGTTTGGTTTTCTCTTTGGTTTTTCCTTCCTTTCTCCTTTGGACATTAACCCAACACCACATTGTTCCTAACATTGCACCTGTGGCATCCTTGAAGGCAGGGCCATGTTCTTTCTGTCTTTGCGTTCTAGCTGAGCACCTGGCCTGAGATACAGTATTTATGGAATCAAATGCCATTTTCAGAGTGTTGTGTTTTTTAATCCCCATACTTTTAAAAATAAACTATAGGCAGTCTCCAACCAAAAAAACAGTTTGAATTTTTAAAAGCCACCACTTGGTCCGGGGCGGACACACACACACACACACACACACACACACACACACACATGTATGTACTACTATTTATAATACCTTAAACAATAAAAAGAAAATACATTAATAAATAAAAAGCCACCACTTATTCTTTTTCACAAAGCTGCCAGTGATCTATAATGTGCTTTGCATGCATTCTCCATCTTCACAGTAATCTGAGGATATTGCTACTTTCCTGTTTTACAGACAGATGCCCAAAGTGAAACTTAGCAAGGTTACGTTGCTTATTTAAAGTCATTCAGCTAAAACATATACATTGAGGATCACAGTGGTTGCAGTATTGAGAAAATATCAGTGCCAAAGAGTGAGAAGTGCTTAGATTTTGGATGTGAAGGTAGAAATGAGAGAATTTCCCACTGGATTGAATCTACAGGAGAAAGAAAGCCTCACCAACTTGGAATAGTGAGATTACCATAGATTGAAATGAAGAAAACTAGATAAACTTAAAAAGTTATGGCATGTTCAATTTTTAATAATCATTAGAAATTCAAATAGAGGCATTGAGCTAATAGTTGAATATATGATTCTGGAGTTACGATGAAGAGGTTTAGGCAGAGACAAATTTAGAGTTGACAGTGTATAAAGCCACCGTGACCAGACAAAAACACATAGGTAGTGAGTGATAAAGAACATGATAAAAACAAATACAAAGAATTAATGTGTATAGTGCCCAGCATGTTTTAAGCGCTTTAGGTAAATAGATTCATTTGGTCTTCACAACCACTAAAAGAGGAAGCTACTTCTATTATCAATTTACAGGTAAGGAAATGGAGTCTTGGAGAAATTAAGTTCATTTCTTCTGATCAAAGAGCTAGCAAGTGGTAGAACTGGGATTCAAACCCAGGCAGAGAGAGGTAAAATATTAAGTGTAGCCTGAGACACTCCAACTTTTAGCCATCAGGGAGATAAGGAAGAACCAGAAAAGAAGAAGACTGAGAAGGAGGTTCCAGTGTGTAGGCAGAGAAGCTAAAGCAGTTGGAGTCCAGAGGACAAAATGGAGAAAATGCTCAATGGCATCAAATGCTTGCTGGCAGGTCAAGGAAGACAAGGACTCAATACTGACCTTGGCATTTAACAAAGTGGCTCTAACAGGTTACCTTGAGAAAGGCTGTTTTGAAGCTGCAATGGAGTTAACTCTCAACCAGAGTGAGTCCAAGACTGAATAGAAGAAGCATTAGAGTTCAACTCTCTGGAGTTCAGCACAGATATCAACTCAGACCCAGTTAGAGGTATTCACGTGTGGATATGAATTAAAAGTGGTAGCTGAGGTTTATTACATTAAAAAAAATAGAGATTTGATTGGGCGCTTAGTGAGGAAGAGATATGGGCAATTTTATTGCCCTATTTAGGAGAATAAACCTGGTATTCTTTTTCTTAGATTCAGTCTTGGTCTTTATCTTATTAGAAAAATTTTTCAAGCTCCAAACATACCTGCCTTCTCTTCAAAGTAAAATGTCTCCTGGACCACATTTCATTTGATTACACATCCCCAGTCTAGCACACGGCCACCCGAGGGCACACAAAAAAAGTGGGATAAATGACTAACACCCTAAATATTGAGTATGCTACTTTGAAGTTATTGTTGACTACTTTCTGTTCCCATAATAAGCCCATGCTTTTCTCAGTGTTCTTCACTCATTCAAACTGATAAAAGTTTTAACTTTTTAAAAGGCATGTACAGTATAAGATCTTGACTTTCCTATTATTCTGGTTCTTTCAATAGTGGTTTCTTTCCTTTCCCTGTCCTTCTCCCTCCTCATTAGATAACAAAGCTTCTCCTAGTATAAGACTTTTTACCATTTTTTGAGCCTTATTTTCATTTACTCTATTATATTTTATGTTTATGGACTTTTGTCTTATCTTGTCTCTTTCCCCACCTTACTTAATTTCTCTAGGACAGAGACTGTCCCATGTTTCAGTTCTCTACAGCATAGTACTTAGATGTAAGAAGTATATAATTAATGAGTGAATATTAAAGTAAACTGAGTTGAAGGATACACACCTGTACTGAATAACACTAATGCTAAACAAACCAAAGATAGTGGGACTTCCCTTTCCACATGGCAACAATTGTGTCCTTAGTTTAGGGACATAATCATTTTGGCTAGATTTATGAAAGTTTAAGAAGTACTATAAAACATCAAAACAATAATAACTAAACACACTTAAATTAGAAAATTTCATGGCTTATTAGTTTGCTTTTTGTTTTTATGGTATTTAAAATTTTTAGATACTTGTGCAATAATGACTTGCTTCATAATTTCTCTTACATCTCATCAGTAAGCATTCTTTTAATTTACATCATTTCTGATCATCTGGTTCATACAGTTAGAAGTGATTAGGCTACTAATTCAGTTATGAAAACTTTGGCTTTCACTGGTACATAGAGGTGATGAAACCAAAGGGATATAATAGCCTTAGTTAAGGATTTCACATATAACAGTGAATGGTAAAGTCTTGAAAACTGAGATTTCAGACTTGTTGCAAATAGCTGAAGTGCAATATTACTATTTTTACCCTTTAACATAATAAAATGGAACAACATTTTATTGCATAAAACTGTAATAGAGTCTATGGGCAAATGCTGGGTTAAGCAGACACCAAATGAGGAAAGAAGAAAGGTTACTCTCCACCATACGCTTGTTTTTACAGTTTGGCTTTCACTACTCACCCGAAAAATTTAGTTACAAATTTGCCAGGGTGACTCTGCGGATGAATGTGCCCTGTGACAAAGACGAACAACTCTTCTGATGGGGTTTTAAAGCACAGAGTACCCATTTCATTCTATTTTGGGATGAAATTATATTTTAACTCCCTATTCACATGTGTCAAACACAAGGCCCGCGGGCCAAATCCGTCCCGCTAGGCCTTGCAATGTGGCCCACACCGCGCTGTCATTACTGCACTCCGCTGCGTTTCCATCACAATGACAGTTTATGACTGTTCAGTAAACCATTCAGCCCGCGATTTAGGCTGGATTTTAGATTTTGGCCCCTTCTCTGAGTTCGACACCCCTATTAGGGCCTATGCTATCCATGTTAGATTCCATATGCGGAGGCTATCAGAATCTTAAAGCTAGGGAAAGTATGTTAACCTGTTATATATGAATGAGAAAATTTAGGAAAGTAAACTTAGGAATAGTTTAGAAAAATTCTCATGCTCTGAAGTCACAGAACTAGTTAGCATCAAAGCTGAAAGTCAAATCCAATTACTTTACCTTCAGTTTCTATTTCTTTCACTTTTCCCTCTTACTTTTTTTTTTTTTTTTTTCTTCACACAAGGACAAGTAATTTGGGATTCTAGGTATGGCTTTATTCACCAGAAAATAAACTTATTTGCCATAGGATCTACCCTCTTTTAAAATGGCAATACCTTTGGAAAGTAAAAATAATAAGCAAGATTTGTTTGGTTATTGACAAAGGAATTTCCACATATTTTGAGAATTTTAGCTGCTATCTCGCACAGATAGTAATCATCTTTTTACGAGGGTGCGGTCCTGTGACCCAGGAGTCCCAGCAGCTGGGGAAGCAAGCCTAGGGAGCCGGCGAGTTCGTTTGGGTTGGGCTGTTATGAACAACTGCTTGGAGCCAGGCAATTGGAAAGTACCGGCCACGAGAGGCTCCTTTTTAAAGAATTCTTTAAACAGCCAGATCAGTGGTCTTCAACTAGAGATGATTTTTGGCGCCCAGGGGGTCTTGGGCAATGTTTGATAGTCATAATGGGGTCATGGCCTATGGCATCGGGTAGAGAGCAGGGATGCTGCTGAACATCCTACAATACACAAAACCGCCATCCCACCCTCAACAAAGAATGATGTGGCCCTAATGTCAATAGCCCTCAAGTGAGAAATCCTGAGCGTGAGAAGAAAAATTCACTGAGGAGCTTCTTGAATTGTTATTTTATGCATTTTAGAACTTAGAAAATAAGACACACACACACACACACACACGACACTCCCCCACCCCACCCTCCTCGCCCAACAGTTTCTAGGAAATTCCGGAGACTGTTTATCTGGATTTCCTTGCCCTGGATGTGGGTTGCCCCAGGTAATTCTAAACCCATTTACTCGAGTTTTGTGCAACAGCCGTGGCCTTTGGCATTCTTCCTTTCCGGTTTTCAGAACTTGATCCCAGGCTGGTAGTTTTTTGGAATCTCCTGCCGTGGCAGAGAGTTCTTCTGCGGGACACTACCTGTAAGTCAGTCACGGTTTTTGTTTTGTTGTTTTAAACAAATGCTATATTGTGGGACGAGTGGCCTCCTGGGGAATCGGATTTTCTTCAGGAGCAAGACAGTCATCCACCTGCCCCCGACAGCGCCTCTGGGAAACCTCGCGTCCGCACACAACCCAGCCCGCAGGCTCCACGCCAAAGCGGTTTCCTAGGCGCGAGCCCGGCGCCTGCTCGCCTTTTATACTTCGAGGCGCGCCAGTGCGCGCGACCCGCCGCTAGGAGCTGCAGAGCTGACCAATGAGCGGGCCCCCTCTCCGCGCCGGCTCGGGATTGGGCGACGAGCGCCAGGCTCTCTGCTTAGCAGCGGGCGGGGCGCGCCCAGGAG